CGGTTTCCCAGCGAGGTGGAGGTAGAGAGGCAGAGCCCCGGCGGAGACACGCGGGGAAGAGGGCAGGGATGGGATGGGACGGATACCCAGGTGAGCAGGGGCATCTGCAATACTCTTATATATTACCTCTTCTCAGGAAACGTAAGAAAAATAGACAATATTACATATGTCACATCATAAATAAAGTGGTCACTGGAGGGGCAACTGGCAAAGCTCCCAGTGTTGGGGTGCACAGAAGCCACCCAGGGGGTGCACCAAGGTCTCAGGGTGCACAGAAGCCTCCCCAGGGGGGCGTGCCAAGACCTTGGGGTGCACAGAACCCTTAGGGAGATGCACCAAGGTCCCGGTGTGCAGAGAATCTCCCTGGGGGGATGCACCAAGACCTTGGGGTTCACAAAACCCTACTAGGGGGATGCACCAAGGTCTTGGGACGCACAGAAATCCCCTGGGGGATACAGTGAGACCCTGGGGCACATAGAAGCCCTTTGGGGAGATGCACTAAGATCTTGGGGTGCATAGAACCCTCCCAGGGGGATGCACCAAGACCTTGAGGTGCACAGATGCCTTGAGGTGCACACATTCAAGGTGACACACCAAGTTCTTGGAGCGCACAGAACCCTCCCAGGGGATGCACCAAGGTCTTGGGGCGCAGAGAAACCCCCAGGAGGTCTCGGTGCTGGTGGCACGAGGCTGGTGGCACGGGGCCAGTGACATTACCTTGGGGTGTCCCATGCACCAAGCTCTGCAGTGGCCTGGCCCAGCCCAGGGTGACTGGCAACACAACTAACCCAGCCCCAGCCCTTCCCTCCTCTTCCTCCCCTACAGAAAACACATAGGATGGGTTTTGCAAATGCGGAAAAACTACAGCTCCTCTTGATTTCAGGCCTCCGGCTCGCTCCGGACAGTGCCACAGCCCCCTCACCTTCTCCTCATCCTTTATTTGGCAAAAGTCTCTTATTATTATCACTATCATCATTATTATTCATTTTTTGGACCTCTGCAAAACACTATTTACATTCACATTAGCGCACAGCACCGCTGCCTCCGCTTGGAGCCGCCGGACTTTCCATATTGCACTCCTGTCCTCTGCGCTGCTCCAGCGAGGCAAGAATCCCAAAATAATCGATATTGTCTTGGCTGCCTCCTCGGCCAGGAAGGAGGCAGTGTTCCTTTGCCTTTTCCTTTTTTCCTTTTCCTTTTCCTCTTAAAAATCCTTGTGAAACAAATCCAACGTGGGGTGTGGGAGCAGCCCGGCAGCAAAGGGATGGGGGTCCAGCTGTGGGCGGCCCCCGACAGCTTCGGGGAGGGAGAAAAACAAAATCTGTCTTTTAATCTCTTTTTAATTCTTTTTTTTTTTTTTATTATTATTCTCTTTTCTTTAATTATTCTCATTTTTTATTCTCCTTTTCCAGGGCAGCGGCGGG